GCCTCTAAATAGGGCCCACTCCTGAATTTCATGTATTTCCCTCACTGACACTTCGAAGCAACACAATTTTCAGGGTCCATGCCGGTTCGTTAGCCTTTTCGGTGACGATGTTCATTATTGGCTCCTTTGTCTGCATCGCCGTCTTACAATATCGGAGGTACGGTAACTGCTTACGCATAGGGCTTGGGGGGGGCATTTTTGCTGGTTCCCACTGTCGTGTAGAGCTATCAAGTGGAGACCTATGAAATCTTGTGAAGCCATAAAGTGATATCAACCAAAGTTCGTGGAAACTACTTGTCAGCTCTTGTAAAGAATACCTGTCAACTTATGTAAAGCCGTGGGTTTACAATGGGAGACCACGAAATGCAAAATGCCCCTCCCAAGCCGAACTACGCCAAAAACCCTTTTGAGATTTCTCTCTCATTTTCTTTACTCGATCATTTCAGGTTCAATAAATCAATCTCAGGTGAACTGGGTGGTCCTGTACGGATGAAGTATCTCAGTTCAGTGATATTCATACTCGTTTGGTTCGCATATCTTACTCTAAGCACACTTGAAGCTTACTGCATAATTCCTGGATTTTAATAATCCTGAAACATCTCCCCCTAGACCTCAACTTCTTTTCTTCTCAATGTTCCAGCTCGAGGTTGTTCATAACCCTTTGCTCTTCTTGTTAATAGTGAAATATACCAATGCAATAATTAATAAAATATTTCTAAAATTCGATGTCCACATGTTGAAACATTCAATATTTATTTCGTCAAACTAGAAAACAAATATTTATAATAAATAACACTTGACTTACATCTTCGCCCCTAAAAAACAACTTCTGATAACAATGACGTTTTCTTATATCACATGATCGTAGAATTCTTAGTTGAAATACTGCGTAAAATGGACATAAATCAGGTTACATCGAAAACAGTGAAAAGACCAAAATAACCCTCTCAAAAGCAGTGAGTACGATGGCTAGGGGCGGGCGGTTGTTGCTATCACCATTGGTGGAACGGCTGCGAGAGGCCACACCTCATCCAGCCATTCCACCAATTACGTCGGCCAGAACTGCACGCCTCCATCGTGCCCAATGCCTTTAACTATCTCAGAGATACAGCGCCAGCAAAGCAGCTTTTACATTCTGGATTGAAATTTGATGAAAATCGATTCGATTTTATTTCTTACGTGGATGACGAAGACGCGAGTTTCTTGAGATGCTCCATGAAAACTTGCAATGACACATCGTCAGTGAATACTGGAGCACCGCCCTCCTGAAAAATCAAAAAAATTGGTGGTCCTCTCAAATTTCTCACAAAAAGAGAATGGTGCAATCAACGTATCTGTTTTATTCAGTAGTCAAATAGCCGCAGTGCGATAACTCGGCGGGAAACGAGACAAAATAACCTGGAGTGGGGGTCAGGAGATCCCAGCAGCCGCGACGCGGAAGGGAACATCACAAATCGCGCGCGACGTAGCGTAACGACCAATCCCTCACTGTAACCAGTACTATGTACATCACGCTGCGCCACTTGCAACGCTACTCTCGTCGCGCCCTTGCAACTCGGATCTGTCGACCTGCTCGCAAATACTTATTCAAAACAATCTGGGGGCCTGTTCGGTTAGGAGGGGGCATTATGAACTTGTTCAACAAACAGGTATCTCTCTTTGGTGAGAACTCTAAACTCTTGTGAAGTTGTGTTATAGCACAAATGAGCTACTTTGACTACGGGAATTTAGGGGTTTTCACTAGTCGGCCGATACAAGCTTAGCTGAACACCGTTCCATACCCCTCCCTCAAGTTAAACTGCGCCAATATCAAATATTTAGTAAGGCCTCCGCCTACACAACCAGCGTAGATTTTCCGTTTCTTCCTGTTTTTCAATTGGGGTTTTACGCTTAAAAATTGCCAAAAAACCCAATTCTAATTCTTCGTTTTCTCCCAGCGTTTCTTGCACTCTGTTTCCGGGTTAGCTCTGATTTTCTCACGCCGTTTCTCCCGATCTCACCCACACTATTGGTGGGAGAAGGCGGGGGGAGGGGACCCACTTGGCATGGTTTACTTAACTTCTTTGGCATGTTGTAGCGGATGCGTGGTAGACCCGATGTTCACGTTGAAATTACTCATTTTCATGAATCAAAATTTTATCAATTATTCAGTCACTCCCCACTTCCCATGACCAAAACAAGGAACTCACCGATGCGTAAGGATTATTATGTGTTAGAGATGGATTGACCTTGGAGAGCAAGAAGCGAGCCTGAAACATACTTGTTATTCGTGCTCATACGACAGAACTTTGGCCCTATTTGAAACACCTGAGATGACCTCCCTCAACACTTACCTGAGATCCCTCATACTCCGTTACTATGTATCGCGGCATTGGCCATCGCTCTTGAAGAATGGCTGTCGCATCTCCCACCGGGGCTTCAAGAAGCTGCTTGAATGTCGCATACTGTGGATCCTCATGATAGTTCATCTTCTTCCATGCCGCAATCGTCTTCAAATACAAAATGAGAAGATTTCACAGGGACAGTATGACGAATGTAGTCATTTTAGACCACTGTATAAGTCTCTAGCAATATTTTTTCCTAAAAACTAGGACTTAAAGACACATTTCCCAATAACAGGATGGTTGGCAACTCATAACCAGTGTCCCTTTCTCATGGGAAGCGCCTGTCCTGCCTACCGCATCAGGACCGGTGCACCAAACAACAAAGCATGATGCCTGTCAGGAAGGGACACTGAGCAGCAGTCTCCGCCCTTTCGTCTATCGCGGAATGTACCTAATAAGTCAAATGGATTTGGAAGCTTCAAGGTGACACTCACTTGTCCGTGATAGATCAGCACATGGAAATAGTCATCCATAAGTAAAATTCTATCAGGCAATATGGACGACGTGTCCAAAAGTACTGGTTCTGGTGGACCGCTGAAAACAGTCTTTATAAGTGCGCTTTAGCAATGAAAGTTTCGGTACAGACTACTGCGAAGTTGAAATTAAGCAGGAGCTTCAACTTAGATCTCAAGCTTGTTACGGTAATCCACTGAATTCTCATTTTTTAGATAAAAGCTACGGCTTCTCCGAAAAAAACCTGAGTTTCTTGGAAAACTAGACGCTAAAAGAACGAGAACTACTACATTCACACTTACTAGGGACCACAATGGTGAAAAAAGTCGCCGAAATAGTTGGAGGGGACCGCTGCACGGGTGGCGCAGCGCGAGTAAGTCTCCCATTCTCGTCCTCTCACCAGAAGATGGCCCCTTTTCCCAACGAACTCAGTCTTCGAAGGACATAGACCAGAGCATATGCGGTCTCGCCGCCCCCCCCTATCGACTACGGTAACGTTGAAAGTAGAGAAACATTCTTTTGCAAACACCATTTCAGAGCCAACAATATCTTACCTGAACGAGTAACTGAACAGTACTGGTTGGATCATCGTTGTGCTTTCAAGTACATTTTCTGAGAATAAAATATGCCTGAAATCAAGTTTTTTTTCTTTGAAAATGAAACATTAAACATGAAAAGAATTCCATCACCGTTCCTCTAACCTAGTACTAGAAGTCACACTACGAAAAAGACTAGTTAGGGGACCTCAAATCCCCCACGCAAAAGGTCCCATGCAGAACGCACAGGGTATTCAGTTAGGATAAAGACATATTCCGCGAAAAATTGATGGGCGGAGATCTATAACTACTGCGCCTCCCTACTGGTGCGCCGTTTGTCCACATACTTCAAATAGGACGCGCCAATGAGGAAAGCACAAAGGTGACCAGTCGTCGTCTATCTCTGTGCTAGCCAGATTATAGCAGAGTGGGCCCTCAAGTCATGCGTCTGGTAACGTAGAAGGTTACCTCAGATTGCTTTCGCAGTTGGGCGAGGACTCATAACCATAGTACATTCCTCACCGGCGCTCCACCCCTTCAATACAGTGGAAGGAGGAGACGCACCAATGAAA